GCCGAGGAATACAGTTTCTGGTTGTCAGGCAGAGTCAGATTCCTGCCTCTTCTCTCCCTGGTTTGTTTCTTGTTTTTCTGGTCCTGGGATTTTGAGCATGGCCTGCTGAAGCTGGGACCCCCTGCCAGCCAGCCAGTATCGAGGTACTCCTTGCTCCTTTCTAGAGTAACTTACTTTCCCACTGTGACCTTTGATCTGCATTTTAACTTCACGTCTACCAGATATGCCCATCTGAATGATTCAGTAAATGTTTGAGTGAGCTACCAGGTGCTGGGCATACGAAGGTCATAGAAGACATGATCCCTGTACCCCCTGCCCCTCCCCAGTTTCAGTCCAGTAACTTGAATCTGGCCCTCCCACATTTGACTTTACTCAGTTTTGGTTGAACAGTCCATGTTTCTGATTCTGACAAATAGAATTTTACAATGATTCTACTAACTTACTGTCTTACCAGTGGGTTTCAGCCCCAGGCCAGTTCACTATGGTTTCAGTGAGTCCAAGGAATGACAATGGAATGTTCTTGGGGTAAAAGGGTTTATTACCCAGCTTTGCTCTCCCAGCAGTAGGTGGAGCACTAGAATTACATCTGCATCCAGCCGTCAGCAGGCCTGTAACCCTTCATCTCTGCCTCAGCCCAGAGCACTGCAAAGAGCTCTTTATATAGTGACTCAGTCAATAATAGACTATTGCCATGGGTGTGGGAACAATAGCCTGGCAATAGGCCAATTACATCATCATCAAGTACTTTAGGGTCAGGTGAGGATCCTGGCCATAGGAATTTCCATTTCCCCACTTACTAATTTCACATTATTTTACTAATCTCTTCAGGGTGGGGTGCTCAGTCCCAAGAGTGCAAAGACTGCCAACTCTTACTCAGAGTGGGGGAAAGTAGGAAAAGTAGTGGGAGAGTGCTGAGTGGAGGACGATGGCAATGGCAGCCCGTAGCTGGGTCTGTGAGCAGTAAGGCACCGAGTGAGCCACTGAAGCCCCAGGAGCCAGCACACACTTTCCATGAAGGCCTTCACACACAGGTGTGCAGCTTCCCCTGTGATGCCTTATACGCTCCTATTTGGACACAGCTGTTTATGGCTGAGATTGTTATTCAAGCTCTCACCCTAGACTCTCTGTTTGCAGGGTGGCTGGCGGGCCTCACTCATCTGAATAAGGGGCATTATTTGCCTTCATAAACTGTTATTTTGTTACCAGTTGAGCCCTGGGAAGAGAGCAGTTTTCCTATAAGGAGCTCCATTCCAATTATCATGCTAAGGTGACAATAATTATCTCTAGCTTTAGAAATAATTACACTATTATATTAAGCTGTTACTGAGGAACTGTTGAAAGCTTCTGCATCCATCACTGTTATTGAAATCATTAATATGTTTATTTTGTTTAAGGACTGGCAAATTCTGTTTGGACAAGAATGCCAGAGAACAATATGAGTAGCATTAGCTTAGCTTACAGTTTCTTGCACAGAAGGAAACAGCAAGGCTGCTGAGTTGCTCCAAATCCAAATTGACAAGGCATTTTCTCTTTTAAGTACTTTGTAATTACCTGTTAACCAGAACATCAGTAGAATTGCAAGGACCCTTGGCCTGCCCTGTGCCAAGGAGACAGGATATCTTGCTGCCAGCACTCTAGTTACTCGCAAAGGCTGATCTGCCATTTGGACTTTATCGGTGGTTTTCCACCCTGTCATGTGTTAAAACCTCCTAGGGAATGCTTTAAAAAATACTTCCCAGAGACCATCTGGTGGAATGAACCTGAAGTGGGGCCCAGCACTAGGAGATTCTGCCATAGCCAGGTTGAGACCCTCTGGGCCATAGTTGATACTTCAACTCAGGAAACAAAGCAGATCTTCAAGAGTAACTGGATTTACAGGCTGATGAACAATGTCTTATATAGCAGACAAGAATTTATCTGCCATTCAGCTAGCACAGGAAAAGGTCTAAATATTACTTAATTTCTCAACCAAAGAGAGACCATTATGTTGATATGTCATCGGTGGGAAGAGGGCAAAAGATTCATTTTAAGACCAACATTTAGAAGTTACAAGGGTACTGTTAGGCACCCAGCCCAATGACAGGTGAAAATAGGTACTCAATGTTAATAAAAAAATTCAACAGCATGTAATGGCTATATATAGCTGCTCTGTCCAATATGGTCGCCACTGGCCATGTGTGGCTATTTAAATTTTAATACAAATTAAATTAAAAATTCAGTTGAACTAGCCACATTGGATGTGGTCATGTGACTAGCGATGGCCATACTGAAAGCAAAGAGAGCACATTCCCATCACCGCAGACTTCTAATGGCGGACAGTGTTCTGCAGAACCGTTCCCAGAGGCATCCCTCCTACACGATGCCTTCTGATTTATTCATTTGATCAAGGAGTACACCTATGTGCTATTATTATGAACTGAACACCTGAGAATATCAGCTTATCACTTGCAAACATGCATTAAGTCATTGGAAAGAATTCCGAAATGAAGGACAAGGAAGGAAAAGTGTAGACTCAAGAGCAATGCGCAGCAGCGGCTTCACAGAGGCATAGACTCTTGAGAGGGAGGGTCTCTTTTTTGAGTCTAAACCATAGTTCCCCTATGAGCTTCAAAACAGGGCAGGAGTGGTATGCCCCAGCCCAGTCGTGAATGATGTTAGCACAGTGGTTGACTTTTGGTAAAATATGGATGGAGAATTTAAACACTTTAACTAAAGCCACTGTCACAAGAATCACTAGTTTTGTATTCTTTGGGCAAAACATGGCACAACACGAAAGCAACTGATCAGTAATTGTGTCCCACTTTAGGTTTGAAGAGCACCGTTAAGACATCAGATCTGGACAGAACCTTGGAACCACGTGGTCTGAGGCCCTAGTGTTACAGAGGATGAAACCAAAGCACAGCAAAGAGCTGGCTGGTAGCAGAGCCAAGGCAAATGTATGGATTTCCTGGCAGCTACACTCCCTAAGAATCCCTCAAACCTGTTCCTTGCCTCAAGTTTTCGAGAAGATTTGGTTTTTAGTGATAACTATGCAAAACAGCAGTTGTGTGGCTCTCACATCTAAAAAAGACACCCATTTACCACTGACTGTTCAGTAAAAGACAGACAGGTTGGTAAGGAATATGAAGACTCCGTCTCTTAGTTATTTGGGAAGTACTAAGTGCAGCCAAATGTCTTTGGAGGCCCTAGGCTCTGGGGGCGGTGCTGCACCAGTTCCAGGGAACCAATAGCCCTTTAATTGAAAATCTCAAGTTGTTTATCTTCTGCATATTCACTCCATAGGCAGCAGTTCCCAACTTACACTTTTGGAAAAATTCTCTTGGGGCATTTGTTAACATATAGATTTCCAGGCCCCCAACCCAGAGGATCTGAATCAGTAGAGCTGAGGCAGAACCCAGGAAACTGCATTTAACCAGCATTTCAGGTAATTCTGGTATAGGTGGGCCATGGCCAGCCAAACCCAATTTGCCCAGGACAGTCGGGGTTTAGACCTGTTTACATGGTTTACGCGTAATTATTAAGAGTGTTCTTTCTCACTGTCAGGAATCCAGGCTTAGACAATATATGACCCTCTTTCCCTGATTTATGAATCATATTTTGAAAAACACTGCCATATAGTTTACTGTTAAGCAGCTTGTTTGTTTTCCCAACCTGATATTCCCCCAAAAAGTGAGCTCAATGTTTCCTGCTACAGAGAATCCAAATGAACCTAGTTTTCCTTTGATTGGTCATAAGAACTTAAGCAATGTCCTTGTCCATTCCCAGCAACTCGCAAAGGTGCTTGGTTGCTTTTTATGTGTTGAATTTCAGAAACCTAGAGAGTAGAAGACCAGGCTTCTGGGTAGGAGGGCTGAGACTACAGATGGCAGCTCAGGAAAAGACCATAAAGACGCACAGTGAATCCCAAGTACCACTTTTATTGTTCAATGATTGTGGTACAGAATTGTCCAAAGGCTCCAGGACTTGTTTGGCTGTGACACACACCACAGATGGCTCTGCAACTTACAGGGACATTACATGAGCCACATGCTTCTCTGGTCAAGTTTTTCCAACAATCACACAAAAAAAAAACTTTTCTCCATGGGAAGTAGAGTGACTATCTCAGACCGAAGTCATCCCTCACTCATGATGGCGTGTGCCAGCCAGGCCATAAAACAGCACAGAACACGAAGGGCCAGGCTTCACGCTACAAACCACAAGGCAGCTTGTGAACACTGGACACGCATGTAGACTTATCACCATGACTAAGCTGACAGATGCCCAAAGTGAACCCGGTCAGATTCAGACTTACAGGTATAAGCGATGCAATGAACTTTTATTTCATATAGAAGTTAATGTCCTTCTCTTGTCACATCAGCTGTGCTTCCCTGTTTAGGCACTGCTTTTATGAGTAAAGGAGTTATGATGAAAAATCAGTCAGGCAAGTGCTTTTAAACCTCACATTTAAATGCAGTGTTAGGTATGTTCACAATGGTGTATTTTACTCCCCTTTGACTTTTCTTACTTGGTTCAAGCACTTCTTCAGTATTCACAACTTGTGTTCTAAATCTGGGGAATAAGTAAGTTGCAAGAAGCGCTTGTGCACTTTTGTGAGGAAGTGAAGAGCAGCAGATGGTGTGATGTGTATATAAACCTGCAGCGGCAATTACAGCCTCAAATGACTTTAACACCAAGGAGCTCTGCAGAGGTCAGGGTGGGTCAGAATGCCCCTGTGGTATGCTGCGTTCTTGTAAAACATGTGTCATGCCATCGAGGACAGACTCGAGCACAACCCACTTTTCATTCATTGCTAGTGCAGTGGGGTGCAAGAAGATGGCCTCCTGACTGTAACAGTGAGCATGCTGGGGACAAAGGAGCGGGCACTACGGCTTGCTTCCTCCAACACCAAATAAGGCCAACTTAGATTTCTAAAATAAAATGTCATGTTTTCTAGGTAAACCTTGCCTTGGCTGCCTACTCAGAGTCAAGATATGTTTAGTCTGATCTAGTCTAAAAAAGAATTTTAAGTATATGCACAGTTTATTCGTCAAATTACATGCCAGCTGTCAAAGGAACTCTGAAAGTGTAAAGCAAGATACCAAAGGACTTTGTGTGATGCTTTCCCCAGGAAGAGTTACACGGGCAGCAAGGTACAAGGGAGCAGACACAGGATGTTGGCAAGCACCTTCCACTTTACATTGTATGCTGGGCACGACACTCCCTCTCCAGTGGCAGGCAGGCGCCAGGGCGCTCAGATCCCTATAGTTGAGGCTTCGGCTGTGATTACTCTGAAACATTTGTTCTAATTAAACAGGTGGGATAGTAACCTCAGCAGTTTTTTAGATAAAGGCATAAGCCAGTTCTTAATGTAAATATAGTGCCTTTAAGAATACTGATTGAGGTTTCCCATGGTTATAAAAAAGTTCAATGACAAAGCTAAAATGGAGTTTATAAGAAGGGGGGCCACGGTATATTATAATCAACAATATATAACATTTTATACTCCTCCTACCAGTTTTTGCAACTCTTCTTGTTATACTATGTGTAGTGTGGTTAAATGGCAAATGCCTTTGACTTCCAATCAAATGTAACTCTTGTAATTGTCTTTTTAATGCCTAGCATATATGAAGAGCCAGAGTTAGAACTGAATGTTAAGATTCTTTTTTTCTCTCAAAAAGAATCTCAAGGTAAGAATATTTTAAAACATTAAGTAGTTGTGTTATCAATATGCATTCCATTCTTAGTTTGCCATTTTTGACCAATATGGAAGGCGAAGAGGAACAGAAGAGCAGTCAGAGCAGCCTGAAGTGCCCAGGTTAACCATTTCTTTCATTTGCTCACTGCAGTGCAAACACATTGCTTAGGGCATATATGCTCTTTGACATTTGTGCTGTTGTGGCCTATTTGCAAAAGTTAGGCACAGAATTCAAACTAGCAGGCCACTTTTAGGTTTGCAAAAGTTAGAATTATTTAATAGAATGTTCTTTGAAGTGAAAATTGATTATTCCAAAAGGATTCAACTCCAGTGGAAAACAGAATCCTCACTGAAAAGCCAAGAAGCAAAATTATCAAACAAAATCAAACTGCAGAGGTTTTCTAGGAAAATTGCCGATAAACATGACAAAGAGGTCTTTATATACATACTGAACAAAGGACATGTGGGTGTCATTTATCATGAAAAAGCCTAAAGCACATAGAATCTGAGCAACGGTCAGGGTTGAGGTTCAAGATTCTTGGGGAGTCTTGCATTCTTGAAATGACAATATTTCTGAAACTCTAGCTCTAGATATCTAGGCAGGAACTATCCAATCTGAACAAACTGTGACAGAATGTCAGGGGTTCTCATAAAGGCTATTCCCTGAGACACACAGGGTAGGAAGACGTAATTCTCGGAGTTTAAAAAAATACAACATATAAAATCAATTTGATCTCTTTACTTCCTTCTCCCTTTAAAGAAATTACTAAAATAACATGCTTTATCATTGCATTCTAAACTTTTTATGTTTTACCTTTTTAAAAAATTTCATTTCATTTATTGAGAGGCCAGGTAGGGCAGAATATGTTCACATTTATTCTGTTTCATGTACATTCATTCTTTCCCCTAAACCTTCTCTTAAAAAGATCACTTCTTTAAAGGTACCAATAAAAATACAGTTTTTACAATTGAGACAAACTTAGGAATCCTAAAATAATTAGCTGTATTTGCAACTGTAATTCTTCAGTTTGGGAAAGATGAAAAAGTTAAGCAAATTTAATGGAATACTAAAGTGTTTAGAACTTTGAAAGAATGCAACTGCAATTCTGTTCTTTTGGAAAATACAGTATGAAAAACAAATCCAAAATACCTCTCTATGTAAATTAAAGCTCAAGCCATGGTATTCAAAATTAAAATGATTTACATAATCTACTATACTTTGTGTTTTTTTAGTAATTAACCTTCCTGAGGCTGATTTTGTTCTCCTTAGTGTTTGCTTAACTAAAGTGCTTAATAAAATTTCTACAGAATATATTACCCTCTCCATAGATGAATATTATTTTGAACTACAATCTGACAAAAACCTAACTACATTTAATTATGCTTGATTAATCCAAATGTCACTGAGAGATTTATAGAACAGAGAAGTATTTTTCTGGTTAAGTTCATACTCTTTTCACTGTGAGCTTCCTGGATCCAGTATTACCACAAACCTACTACTCAGGTCTCTAACATTTTTAAAAAGCCCACAAAAATGATTCCCAGTAGTCCAAACTGGACCACAAGACTCTAGACATCAAGCTCTTGCTTTAAAGAGATATGCCAACTCCATCAAAGACTGAGTTCCCCACTTCAAATTGGGCGGCATCCTGCCCCTGCAGAGGTGACAATGCAGGAGGAAAAAGGATGCAGAGATAGGAAGTCAGATGCGGTCATGGACTCATTACACACTGCAGGGCATTAATGCGGGATAAGGGGTGGGCTTCCTTTTAATGCAGGCCCCTAAGGAAACCGTACCAGCCATTTGGACACTAGCAGCAATGATGCCCTAAGGTGCAAATCGTCCATTTAAATGGTGACACATTGGCCCTTCCTATGGGAAGAATTAATTACATGTACCCATCTCCCTCTCCTGTCACCCAGTTCTACTCTCCATGGGAGGGTGACCAGACAAGTGGGTGTGAAGAACGGAAAGTGGCCCCCACAGCTCTGCTGTTCCCTCTGATGGAGCAGGACTGCTGCAGAGAGCCACCTGGGTCACAGCACAAAGAGCAGCCCTTGTCCTGGCTGCACTGACCCTATCACTGGGGTCAGGGGCAATTCCTGTCCCTATTTTAGAGACAAATGAAAAGGCGGAAACAAAGGTTTCTCAAGGGTTCTGTGACCACAAATATTGTCATTTTGTTCCCTTCAGTTTTGGAGGTGAACACAGCTAATGCCAACCCAGGAACTCCAGAGGGATGCTTTCTCAGGTAATCCTTTCCTCCACCCCTAAAACCAGTGTGGAAGTGTTAAGGGGGTCTTTCCTCCCGACAAGCAGTTATTTTAATGCCAGCATCATCCCTCAGATGTTATAAGTTTATTTCATGATTTCTGAAGTCTGACAAAGTTACACGGACCTTGCTGTAATTTGCATTTTTGTTGTGAGGAAACAGCAGCTCGCAGTTCAGTGAAATTCAATTGTAATAGTTGGCCCTTCCCACCTGACAGTGGTGCCCCGTGGGCCAGGCAGATGATGCAGGACAGCAGGCTCAGTCCACTCTGTGTACCGAAAGCCTCAGCTCGGGGCCCTTGGCAGGGTCCCCTGCAGAGCCACGCAGAGAGCCAGGTGGTGGAGGCAGGCTCTACAAATTCACATGAAGAGATACAAAGGTGAAAAGCACCCAGGAACCACTACCACTTCCTCATCTAAGGAACACATCAGTCCATGACGGAACACCACTTCCTGGGTGTCGTGCCCCGACTCGCCCCCTGCAGCCCCATAGCACTTATGTCCCAACTGTACTAGAAACTTCTCATGTTCGTGTCCCCGCTGTTTCCCCTGCTAGAACATTAGCTCCATGAGGCAGGGATTTCTGTCTGCCTTGCAACCCCGCCACATGGCCAGCACTTGGCAATCCTAGCTCACCACAGACTCGTGTTACTGACGTGGGGGAGTGAACATAGCTTTCCTTTACATGTTCCTCTGTCTACCACTTTTATTTCACTTGTCCCTTACATGTGGGCATGTCTTCAGTTCTTTATATTTCACACCAGGACAGAACCAGGGCAAAAACTCTGACCTTTGGAGAAGGCACGGCATGGGTGGGGTTTGGTACATAAAGCTAGGCTGCCACTCATGCCCCTTGATCATCATGCTGGGCTCTGACGGCAAGGAAGTCTGCCTAGTGGGATAGGTTAGATGCTGAGGAAAGGAAGCTTCAAACCTACAAGCAGGCCAAATAAACTCCCCATCCCCCACCTGTAAATATACTTGATGTGCTTCTACAGCAGGCCCCAGACCCACAAACCACCTCTGTGAAACAACAAAGATCATCCTGGTGAGGACTTAACTCCTTTGTATTTCTTAATGAACCAAATTTTAAAATGGGTTGAATTGAAAAGACAAGTAAGAAATTCCGTGTCATAGTAAAGCTCTCATAAGGGTCAACACCCTCAATGGGGCAGTTAGACTAGCAATCTGTTAATGAAAAATAGACTTCTTTTGATAACTCTGATTATGTTCTACATTGAAATAGTCTGTCATAGTTAATTAACTAATTAATAATTGTCAATAGCTGATAACTTCTTAGGTTCATTAAAATGTCACATGCTCCTTATTTTTAAACCAGAAGGTACTGGTATCTCTAATCAATGGAACAGGAACCTGAGTTAAAAGTTATCTTTCCACACAGAACAATAAACAAAAATCCTGTATTGATTAAGTTATTAATGGTTCTTTCCTGCTAGCAATATTGGTTCCTTCTCTTTACTAACATACAGATTATGATTACCAAGGACATTATCTTCAAAGTCAATGTTTAAGCACCTGGATGGATGGGAAGGATGACAGAATAAATGCATGTTTATATAAGCTCTCCTGCCCTTCAACACACACATCCAAAAACTGAAAAAGAAGCCATCTATAATGAAACTAATAAAAACCACCAGCCCATACCAGAGACTCCAGGGGGAGTGTCTCTCAGGTACAATAAAGCTGGGGACTAATCAAAGGGGGGATTCTCGTGTTGGCCGAGCAGGCCACGGTTGCTGGGCAGTTCATGAGAGGGCTCCAAAGGGCCTGCCAATCTTGTCTTCATCGGCAGAACAGGGACGGGTGGCAGAGGAGCTGAGCGCACACTGCATGGGCACGTGTTCAGAAGCGAAGCCTGGGAGGAGAGGGGGCATCTCAGGTGCACCGTACACGCGCGGTGTTGAGAGAGTAACTCAGGAGCCAATCACACGAATGCTGATTACACATCGTCCAGCCGAGCCAAAGTCTGAGCCCACCCCACTCTGGCTAGGGTGACATCTAGTGGGAACCGGGAAACTCAAGGGCAGTCCCGCTTCCACGGTGGGACCAGGCCACCCCAGGGCAGAAGATGCCACAGCATCGCAGAGGGCACTCAGAGACATGTCCCGAGGAGGCTATGCCGACTCGTCCTTCCTTAGAATCCAGACAGCAGAATGCAAACCAAACCTTCCTCCATCATGACAACCCATAAACAGCAAGCCTCACAGTTCACATGGTAAAGGGATCATTCAAAGGCTTCTCACTTGAAAAAGGAGGATTTAGAAGCACAGCTTGAGCAGATGGAATGGGCCCATGCAAAGTCAAATAAATGAGCAAAAAATGCCACTGTGATACTTGTGCGACAATAAAAGAGCAAAACAACACAGAAGAAAAGGAATGAAAGAAGCAAAAGCCTGGTAAATACACTCTGGACACAGAATGATTTCAGAAACCAGGAAAATTATAGACAACACAGTTCAGCCTCCAAGAAAAGAAATAAAAAGGCACAGAGGATGACATAATGAGAGAGAGGCTGGCAGAGCTCAGGAAGGAAATGGAGACAAAACCCAAAATGGGAACAGACGTGAAAGCCACAAGCAGGCAAGCGCCCAGGCCTAGACTCCTGCCTACAGGAAACAGCGCAACGGGATGGCAAGAGCTGAGGAAAAGTCCCACAGCACGCAGACAGGCTGGGGATGAAAGCCACCAAAGGAGAAAGTGCAGCACAGGGAACAGAGAGCCAAGAGAGGGACAAATTGTTGAAGAAGAGAGCAAATAAACAGAAAAACTGCAGTAAGGCCTGAATGTCAGTATCTAATGCTCACCGCACACCAGCAAGAACTCCCAGCACCACCAGATGCTAGAAGACAAAAAAACGATGTCTCCTAAGTATAGAGGGAAAAAGGACGTGGTCCGAGAATCTGACAGCCAGCCAAGTTACTGTTCAAGTTACTGGCAACAGAAGTACATTTTGTAAATATGCAAGAAATTCCAACTAAAACTGTAATCCAGTCCACCAAAAGTTAAAAGCATTGACTCTTGAATGTGGAGTCTGTCTTTGTATGAAAAGGCTGGCAGCAAGCACTGAGTTCATTTGAACATAGAATTAAGTCTCAATAACTGTAGTAATTACCTACAACTACACAGCTTAAGCTGCCTGTCTTTCTAGGTAAATGCTGCCAAAGCCATTTGATTATCTCCTCTAACTAACTATGCCAAATGAAAACACACAAAAGAAAACCTCTCCTGAATGGAATTCTCTTGTATTACAGGAAATTTTTGGTTTACATCTTACCCTTGACGGGTGATGCACTCAAGAAATTCCTCAAAAGAGGTAACGCTGATTACTTGGTACATTGTTGAGAGCTGGGCCTAGGAATAAGACCCAACTACTCACTCCGGCTCTTCCACTCACTGACCCTGCCACCTTGGCAAACCACTGAACGGCTTTGGAACTCGTATAAAAACTAGAGATAATACCTTCCTGGTCCGCCTCCCAGCACTGAAAGGATCAGATGGGATGCTGTATGTGAAAGGTCTCTCGAATGATAAGCAAGGCTGTAAAACTGTGTCATGTGATTGGATGGAACGACCCCTCTATGTTAAGCAGCCAAATTCAGATATTCAGAGACAAAGAAAGGATCAGATGGCTCCTGCGGATCCATCCCCACTTCCCTCCTTTCATGTCTGTATTTTAATCATCTCTTAGCACTGAAAAAAGGAAATTCAGTTCTTCCACAGTTTCTGCCTTATTCTTAATTTGGAAACAAAGATAGTTTAATAACTTTAAAAGATGTTGCCTACCATCCAAGGTAAATGTCAATTTTCACTCATTGACTCAACTAGTATTGATTCAACTAATATTTATTAAGCACCTACGATGTGCCGGGAACCATGCCAAATAGTAGGCACAGTCCCCAAATACTTCAAATAAAATGGAGTAAATGAAGGAAACACAGAGGAATTGGGAGAATCACATGAATTTAGCTGAACAAGGGTCAATGTCTATATTAAAATGCATGTGTAGAAATTTGACCATTTGCATAGCGACAAACCCAGCGAACAGCTGAAGTTCAGAGAACCACATACAGTCGATGACAAGGACAATACTTGGAGCCATAAATTGTGAGGATGCAAGATGTTCCCAAGCCTCCACTTGTGGCGGCTTTGGGAGCAAAGTTAAATTCTTGATGCCAAAAACAAAGATGGGAGAGGCAAGACTACACTGGGGTCAGATGGACATGAATAAGCCAGAAAGGCTGTTAGTAAAGGACGACCAGTTAAGTCATTTAAATGTTGAAAGAAACCTTACTTTTGGAAAAGCCCCATAAAGGGAGGAACGTGGTAGGATTTTCCCACATCATATTTTCCATCTTCAGCCTTTACATGGAGCTTGTTGTGGGGGCCTAACAATCAATGGGCACTCCTCAACCACCCAGTAAAACATGGCCAGAGGGAGGGACGGGAGGGAAGCCGCCTTCCCCCTACAATGTATCACACTTAAGTGTGTAAAGGAGTATGGTTGGAAATGGAGACCTGATAAGATACTGACAGACTAACATTTATAAGGAAGCCAGGGTCTTTAAATGTAAAGGGCCATTACTTTTACATCTTTTATGCCACAAGGAAATAATCATATGGAACAGTCCCACCCCCAAGACCCTGACTAGGCTCTCAAGCCAGCAGGCCTCCGTGTGGGCCATGTCGTCACCCCTCAGAAGTACATCTGTCTTTCTTTTACCTGACCGAGTATGGGACATCTCTGATGAGATCCTTCTATGGATGGAAGAGACAAGATCTTTCTAAAGAAGAAAAGAACGACCCTGAGATCAGATAATATAACGAAATGAAGGAAAATCAGATTCAGTGGAACCAAGAGAAACAGCTGCCGTCAACCCACATGCAGCTGGTCTGAGCACAGCTCCTCCCAGGGGAAAATCTGCCCCCCACCCCCTCCCTGCCTGTGATGGCACTGACAGTCACATGACTAAAGGAGGAGGAATACTTTACAGCTACAACTTCTCAAGCAGTGGACTCGATACTTTAAAATTGGATGGAAACAGTTATATGGACATTAAAAGAAGGCAGAAGTCAAGGTAGATGATACCCATGAAAAATTACAGTGACCAGAGACATGCCATAGAAATTGCAATTTTAGTAGGGTCTCTGGGATGGCTTCTGTTTCTCAGGGTAACTATAACTCAGCTCCTCCTCCCTCAACCCAAGTTGTCTGTCCGTTCCAACTTTCAGCACAAAGTAAAGGATTGTGAAAATGAGATAGACAATTCTAAAACTGGCTAGAAGTCATGAAAATGAAAATTATCAAGACCTGGGATATTTATCAGAATAAACTAGACAGAACTTGTCCCTTCGACGGCCTATTTTACAACTAGTAAAGTGCATCACACAGGGACTTCCAATTCCTTAGAAAACTACAAAGGAATATAATAATTAGACTGGTAAAATTTTTACATAAGCATTAAAACTCCCTTCCCACTCTTTACAAACTTGATAATGACCAGAAGGTAGTTTTTCACTTAAGATCTTTGAAACCAAGCAGTTAAGTGAAAAATTCTAAGACGACTTGTGGACTGCTTTAATGGACAGAATGGAATACACAAGTGAATTTCAAAACAAAGTCAGTGCATCAGAGAGATCTAATGTGAAAGTACCCACGCTTCATAGTCAGAATACGGTCAGATGGAAGAAGGCAAAAGTCTAAATCAGAGAGTGAGGAGGAATGCATGTGACAGCAAGGATCCTGGGACTGAATTAACAAGACATGCTCTGGTGTCTTCAATTTCTAGATGACCCAGGTCTTGGTCAGTGGTTTGTGACAAACATGGTATTTGGTCACAAAGAGTGACAGTAGAGACTGGCTGTGAAGGAGCTTAGAATCCTGGGGAGACGGTAGACACTCGACTCTAGGAAATGAGGAGGGAGGTGTGAGGACACGAGAGCACTAACAAGGCTCTGTGCCCTCTTACAACAGGTGCCAACCAAACCACAGCAACGTACTATGAAAAATTTTTCAAGTTACTACTTTAGTGTGCAATCTAGAGTAGCTACAGCAAGGTTCTGTGGCAAAGGTCTGCTCCTGTGAAGAAAACGCACATTCAAGCACTGGAATGACTACGGTGCTGCACTCAGAGTTGGTAGAGGAAAGGAGTTCTGGTTGACTTGCAGAAGACAGTCTTTCTTCACAGAGAGGACCAAAGCTTTCGGTTCTCTAGAAAGTTCTGTTAGTCTTGATCTTGTCCCTACAAAGAAAATAACGGGAATATCCACAGTGAGTAAATTTTGAGTACACCTTTCTCTATTGTAACCATGCCTTACTCAGAGCATTTAGTTATAGTGATAATTTAAAAACCTGCCTTATCTCAGAATTATTCTCTATGATTACTTCTGAATTACCATTTAATTACTTACACATACTTTAAAGCAGCTCTTTACTCTCAGTTAAAAACCTGATTAGAAAGGAGGAATGGCTGCTAATGGGAACGGGTTTCTTTCTGGGGTGGTGAAAATGTCCTAAAATCAGGTAGTGCTGAGGGTCACACAACTCTGTGAGTACCCTAAAAACCACTGAACTATACACTTTAAAAGGGTGAATTTTATGTTATATGAATTATAGCTCCATAAAGCTGTTATTAAAAACCTAACTAGAGGATACTTTGTTTTAGGATTTCTCATTCACCTAGTGAATTTGCCATACCTACTAAACACTTTCCCAAGATCACCACCAATTATCCTATTTGTATAATCCAACAGTTTTAATCATCAGGCTTAAACATTTTTGAATTCTAAAAATAGATTTCTGCTAAAAGTTGTTTGTCTAATAATATATTAGAAATCAAGACACATACTTAACTAGTATACAACCTGCTAAACTATTTAGAGTTGTAAAACTGCCTTTAAAGCAATATTCAATTAAAGCCATCTTTTTATAATACAAAAGGATCTTACCATCTATAAACACTGCTTCTGTACTACTTAAATAACTCCCCCTTAACAGAGCAATAGTCTGAACTGATCAGCCATTGGGGCCCAACAAGCTACTTGACTTACATACAGACTGAAAATGGAATCAAGGGGAATTGATCCAGGTGTTTCAAGCTGATTTAGCTTAATCTTGGCTGGGGATGGTGTGTGTGTGTGTGTGTACATTCACCCATGTGTATGCCAAACCAAACTCTTCTAAATTTCATCATGTGAGATGAATGACCAGTCTGGTGGTATTGTGCACAGATCCATCACAACGTTTCCACATTAAAAAATAAACATTAACATAGACACCCTTTATATCACACATCAGAAAAGACCAATGCTACTATAATGGTACAAAAATCACGAAGCTATATACACTATACTTTTGAACAAATACCTTTCTGTTGCATTAAGAATCAAGGTTTTCATGGTAAGAAGAAATATATATATTAGACACAGTGCAATGTTAAAATTGAATCAAAACTATCAATATGAACTTATGGTTTAAAAAAAGATACATATTGTATAGTCTGTTCAGAAAAGGGGACTAGGGAAGGTATGATGTACACTCCCAACTCCCAGATTAGGGTCTTTAATACCCATTAAAGGCAAACAGGATTCCTTGAGGGAAATGGCTGATTCTAGGACAAAGGAAGGCAAAGTATGAGTCCAGGATATCATCTTGAGCCAAAAAACAAGGAAGCTTTCGAAGATCAGTGGGGTTATATCAATGTAACACAGAGGATCTGGCTCAAAATAGCTCCCACTGGCCAAACATGTGCCAATTTAAGCATCAACAAGATAGCAGCTACATGCAATAACACAGATTAACCTCACAGAAAGCCACACACCGAAATCACACACTGTATGCTCCTTTAGTTCAAGAAGTGATAGAGCCAGATATAATGATAGGTCATACATAATGATACATATATAAATATAGATCAGAATAATGGTTACATGGCAGGGTGGGGAGAAGGAGAAGAGTTTGACTAGTAAGGGGCCTTTTCTGGATACGAGAAAGATGCAAAAGTTTCTCGAGCTATAAACTTAATATTTATACACTGTGTATATGTATGTGTGCATATATGTATATATGTATATGTATATGTTAAGTACTGACTGAAATATATCAAAGCAATAAAAATCTGTAATATCCATAATAATGTTGAAAAAGACAAAGCCAGAAACTCATTTGTCACCATTTAAAGTGGCTTTTAACTCAACTCACCTTGAAAACTGGTAATTAAATGGATTTAAACTCTTATCCTGCCTTGCCAGGATGAACTATTCTTCAAAAGATTCCTAAACAGCCTTAGTTGATGAGGAAGAAGTTCATAGGAGAATGTCAGTTAATGTTGTCAAAAGAACGATCTATTTTTAAAAACTCACCATTTTATAAATGTTAATGAAATTATTGGTTTAGGCCAAAATTATCAACTGGTGTGGAGAACCAAAACGTGATGGTTGTATAGTGCCAAAATAACACTACACAGATTACTTTCTTTTTTTTTCCCACGCAAGAGATTTTACTACCTGAAAGAGAAAGTGGCTGCCCCCAGAGAGAAGGAGCAGCAGCTCGTGGGTGAGGAAGCGCGTTTTTAAGGAGTAGGGGTAGGGTGTGTTCTGCGTTGGTGATTGGATCTTAAGGGGTGGGGGGTCTTAGTGCGCCAGAATTTGCCTTCATTACCATCTTTTTCTTTTCTTAACTGGGCCTTTGGAGAACTGGGTGTAGAATCTCATTCTCTAGCTACTTCCTGCTGGAAGGGGGCGCAGATTCTGGGATTAGTGAGGCCATTGCTGTAGAGTTGGGGAAGGGCGGGCATCCTGAGATGATTCATGATGTCATCTAGCTGGTTTCATTATTCTTAATGAGACGGCCTTGATAGCCCTGGAGGAGTAAGAAATTGAAGGCCAGTGTTGGGCGAGAAGATGAGCAACCAGGGAAATGGACGGTGAGCCCATGGAGGAGGATCGGGCAGTGAGGGTTCCCAAAGCAGCTCAGATTCCCAGAGGAAGAGCAGAATCACTGGGAGAGCCTCACCCGAAGTCACGGCACCAATGAAAGGGTATCTCACCGCGACCCTCCTTACCCTAGAACGACTCGGGAGACACGGGCCCATGCAAGAGATTTTATTATCTTAAAGAGAAAATGGTTGCCCCCAGAGAGAGGGAACAGCCCACAGATTACTGTCTAATTGATAATGGAAAAGTAAGTAAAGCATGGAGGGATCAGATCGCCATCATCTGAACTATGGTCAATTTTAACATCACTAATGGCCGATCAACCAGATATCATGGGTCTCTTAGTGTAATTCCTCAATAGTGCTTATGAAGTATTCTAGCAAAAAATTCTCCATTGAGCCTTTAGATGAAATACAGAGAATGGGGGACAAGCTAAATGACATTTCAAAGGAAAAACTAAACGAGTCAAATTGGGACATTTTTGCAGGATACCCAGCATGGTCTCTCAATGAAAAGCTGTTCTAGATTAAAAACAACTTGAGATCTATGCAGATGTGCTATGTCGTCCTGGAATCAATCCAGATTTGGACAAATTAGGGGAATTTTCATGATGAAAAATTATTGACATGGAAAGGCAGAGATGGTTAAATGAAATAAAACTGGGCTGTAAAACAGTATAAATAGTGAAATCTCATAAACACACATACACAAATAGTAAAATATCTGGAAGAACATACACCAAGCTGTAAAAGTGGTAATCTCTGGGTTATGGGAATATAGTGGTTTCTTTTTTGCTTATTTATATTTTCTTTTTTCTTTTACAGTGTACATATACTGCTTTTCTATTATTACAAGGTTACTTTAACCAAACAGAACCTTCACTGTTGCTAGTAGAGTTGGAACGTTAGGATAGTGAGGAAAAATAAAAAACTGGAAACCAAAGATTGGATTATTGTCCTTAGTACCATGAAGTAGTGAAACTCATTATTCTGTGATGGATAATTTTTCTCTTTCTTTTCATTTTTTTAAATTGTAGTAAACTAGATATCAAAGTTGGCTTCTGGTAAGATGGTAAAAATGGTTATTTTAAAGTATACAGTTCAGTGACATTAAGTACATTCTCATTGTTGTGGAACCATCACAACCATCCTTCTCCAGATCTTTTTCACCAACCCCAACAGACACTCTGTCCCCATTAAACACTAAGTCCCTATTCCCCCTCTCCCGAACCCGGGCAGCCACCCTTCTACCTTCTGTCTTTAGGAATTTGACTATTCTAGATACCTCATGTAAGTGGAACTATCCAATATTTGTCCTTTTATATTTGGCTTATTTAGCATACTGTCTGCAGGGTTCATCCATGCTGTAGCATGGGTCAGAACCTCATTTCTTTTTATAGCTGAATAATATTCCATTGTATGGATAAACTCATTTTGTTTATCTTGACTGATCATTTAACTTCTTTATTTTTTCAGTTTTAGCCCACCCACAGACTTGCTCATTCTTCTGTCAATATCTGTGGATGACAAACTGCAAACTTAATTACTTTTTAAATAAAATTCAGGGCAGGATAAACCCTGCTCACTGCTATTACTACCTCCACAGAGCAAGGTCTCCTAGAACAGCAGGGCCTTTATAGGAATCGCTTTTTTCTGGCTACCCAGTTCTTGCTATCCTTCCTGCCTGGGGTGAAAAAACTGCTCCAACCTTTCTTTAGGGATCATTTTGCTCTCTCAGGAATAAAAGCACAAAGAAGATTTGGCTGCAAGTTATCAGTCATTTGGCTGGTATGTTCTGGTTCTGGGGAAAAATCAGATTCTTTAAAATAGAAAGAATATTTATAAATTACTCTTTTGCCTTGTATTTTGAAGTATCCCTGGGTTCACTGCTGGGATTGCTCCAATCATCGGCTTCAGGTGTGGTCTTGTAATGGCGCCATGCAGACTTATTAAAAACTGGAAGTCTCTCGAATGACTCACTTGAAAGTGCCTAATGGAAAAACAAAAATACACACCAAAGGTCCACAGTGTCATTTTTCTCACATAAACTACTAACCCAAATCTTCCTATAAAACATTAGAAACCTTATATAAGGTTATAATAGAAGGAATTATGTTAAAATTACATTTTAGTAGTAGGTTTTTTAGACTGGCCAGGATGAAGTTAATACCTTTTTAAAGGAATAAAAATATTCACTTACTCAAAACCAGTACTAAAGTACACATGACCAGAATGAAAAAGCATTGCAATTCAGTCAATACTGCTTTGAGATACTCAGTCACCTGGACTATAAGGTCTTAGACCAAGCACCATTGTTCACTGGGCAATTGCTCTCCCACAGGCCTCAGAAAGAAATAAAGTTTCATACGTACTAGATTTATAAACATCAGCCCGTAAAGTGATATCAAATATCACATCATTTATTTAGATGCATTGGCATCTAAGATAAACACTCCAAAAAATGGGTTAAGTTATGGTATAACATATTACATGTATGTTATATTAAAAAGAATGAGTCAGTTCTATATGAAATGATATGGAAAGATCTCCAAGATATATTGGAAAGTAAAAAAAGCAAAGTCTACAATAATGATTTGTGTGAAAAAAATATTAGATATTCCCCTCTATGTTTATCAATGCAGAATCACCTCTAGGAGGGGCCACAGGAAACTGGTACCCATGGTTATATCTGAGAAAGAAAACCAGGTGGCTTAGGACCAGTGGTGGGAGAGACTTAGTTTTCCCTTTTGTAGTTTTTCAATTTTGCACTGTGTGCCTGTCTTACCTATTTGAAAAATACTCCAAATATTCTAGAGTTTAGAAAAAAATTAAAGTCCGATACCACCAATAAATGAGAAAACCTATGTTACAGAGAACTTTCCTGTTGGATCGGGCTTTTACATAGTCATATTATCATTATGGAATTCTTGTCTAACTTTAGGAAAGACAGCAAGTTTTTAAAGCCAAAGGTGAAAAGACTTTAGTTTATGAAATCTGTCTCCTTTTAGATTAGTCCTTTCAATGGATATGCAATTTTTTAAAAATCACCATTTAGAATTATGGTTTTAAAAATTAATGTTTTAATTTTTACATCTCCATGTTTCATATTTTACTATATCTGAGCATAAATTCAAGGGTAGGACATAACTTGGTTTTCACATAAAACTGAATAAATCTGAAGTGAATATGAGATGATATAGTGCTATTTCCATTAGTTATTAAAACTTACAGCTTTAAAAAGTAAAGATGCCTTCATGTAACAGAAATAAAATGCAGTACCTTCAAATAAATGATGGCATCAGTACCCACTCCTTCCATGGAATAGAGTTTTAGATCTCCCTGGAAATATCTTGCATACAGACGAGAAATTGGCAAACCATAACCAAATCCAGCCTATTGAGGAAAGAAAATCAATACAGTCAGACAAGCACAAATATAAACATGTTTGGTAGGAGGACCATTCTGAAGATTAAAATAAAGTCTTGACTCCAATTTAAAGCAAACACATTAAGATTGATCTAACCTTTACAATGATGCATATGCTCATCTATTTTCTATATGCTATCATGCAAAAGGTCTATTTTTACCCTGCAAAAACACTTCTCATACGTTTGGAAAATAATAGAAATACTACAATTTTTGACTAATGCTTTTTTAGCATTTTAATGCAAATTTCTAGTATTTTTAAAGCGAATCCCAAATCAAGTGAAATTTGAACTGCTAACAAAACTAAATCACATCATTCCAAAGTTCCATTACCAGATTTCCTTGCTCTTTGAAGTGAAAATTAAACTGAGCAGCTCAGTTCCAATCTACTAGTACCAAGGCTAACAGAAACAATTTCCGGAGAGGCTGCTTCCTAAGGTTCTGGGAATGTTACAATATTTTGATATATGGTAGATCACATATTTTTAGACATAAGAAAGCAATTCCAGTACCCTCCTATGTATGTCACAGAACCCTGACTAACAGTTACAGGCTTTTAGAAAAAAAACCCAGGTCTCAGATATGGACAAGAACAATAGAAACACCTCAGTAACTCTGGGGTGGAGGGGAAGATGCATACCACTTCGGCCCCCTGATTAAATCCACAGACAAGGCTAATGGAGGAGGCAGCTGGGGAACACTCTCATAGAGGAGGGGTTGCAGTGAGGTTTAGGCTCAGACAGACTTAAGTAAAAACCCACTTTTTGTGCAACTGAGCAGTTCACTCAACCTCTCTGAGACTGTTTTCTCAGCTGACAATGTAATGAAAAGCTTACCTCAGAGCTCCTATAGGGATGAAATGATACAGTGTGTAAGTGTAAAGTCTTGGTACAGTACCTAAGACATAATAAAATGAAATAAGTGGAAGCTGCTATTATGGCTATGACAGAGCATGAATTTTACCAAGTTACATGGACTTCTACCATTTTCTAACATCTTTCCTAGATTCCTTCCTCAGTGTAGGGCCTAACTCAAAGGGTCGGGTGTCACAGAGCACACTGTTATTTAAGGGCTTTAGGACTGGCAGAATATGGTCGGTAGTGAAGACAGGACATCCAAAATGGTGACTGAGGTCACCCCAGCAAAGCAGGCAGTGCATTCCAAGAAAAAGCTGAGGAAACCTGCCCCTTACATTCCAGTAGGCCCAGGGCCTGCCCTCAGGTCTACCAGGGAATAACCGAGAATGCTTGAACCCAAAGCAGTTGTGAGTGTGAGGAGAAAGGTAAGCCCAGAGTCCTGTGGAATGTAGATGAGGGGGCCTCTAACGGGGATTTGGTGAGGTCCAGGAAAGTTTTCCCAGGGTGTCAAAGGATCAATAGGAGTTGGCCAGGAGGACATTTCTGAAAAAGAAATGCACGTGTCATGGCACAGAGCTGTAACATAATAAGATGCCAGGTGAGGAAATGATTTTTTCCAGTTGTACCCATCCACGTGCCTGCTTTAAAGCTGAGGCCAGCTGATAAACTGGGAGAGATGCCATGGAGGCATTTCTTCAGACAGAGAGGCCACGTGGTACACGGAGAGAACACAGCCATTGCCAGCACCGGCTGTGCTGTGCTGAGCTCCAGGGCCTTGGGCCGGGGAGGAACCTTACGGGCTCATCTATCAGATGGGAGGTTGGATGTGTAACTTTTTAAGGTCTCTTATTTCAATTGCTCAGTTTCATTTAAAAAAAAAACAAATGACCTATGACAGAACAGCTATCCTCAAGATGCTTTTTTTGAGGCCTAGAAAAGACGATCCATATTCCTTTGAAACAACTGGGGCAGGCTCTGCATTACTTGTTGTGCTTTGTTTGCCTTTTGACATTTATTTAAGTGGATACCAGAGCCTGGTCCAGGCACTGCCTTTCAAAACTGATCTCTCATGAATTTTCTTGAGTCTTGTATAAATGACTTTCTGTTTTCAACATGCTGAACAAACTCTGTCTCGAATAAATCATGCCAAGTGTTAGATTTTGTTCATACACACAAAATAAAATCTTATGTGCTTATCAGTCATGTAGGACTTGAAAATGCAACTTAATTTATACCTTGAACCCTTTTGCAGACTGATAGATATGTTGCTGTGTTTAATGACAAAGGGTTCAATTGTTGTTTGTCAATTAGAAATACTCAGCTGGGGAAGAAAGTGTGGCCCTACCAGGATCTAAATGCTGCCATGGTAACCAGGCTTTTCTCACTGCCTTCACAGGGCTGGAGGTTATCTTCGGAGTGAGACAGAAAGGACTCTGCAAATGCCACCACCACCTGTATCTTGCCTGCTTATGTTTTTTAATAGAAAAAACATAATGTGTTCATAATTTAACACTTAATTACATATATAAACATATAATTATATATATTTAATTAGGTAACATTTAATTCTAAATAAATTTGGCAGGGGAAGTTCAAAGGCCCAGGACGATGTGGGCCTCTACTGTACGCAGTGCCCAAGTGCCCAGGACCACGCTGTGGCCACACAGCTGTGCTGCTGCCTCGCTCCCCCGCCGTTAAACTTCCACCTACCCCCGAAAGGCTGATGCCACGGGGTGAATGGTGCTCTGGGCTTTTCTCTGTATCTGGGAGTGAGGCACTCAGCCCCGAGTGTTTCTTAGGCACAAATTAGAGAAGAAATCTAGTTCAAAGGATTCGCAAAGAAAGTAGCAGTGCCATAAAACTCCCCCTCCTCCAAACCATGCAGGAAACATTTGAATTCAACAAGACTAATCCAACAACCCGGGGATAGAGCTCGCCCTGGCGGAGTTCCTTCTCCAGTTAAGGGTCTTTCCTTAAGCAGGGGTTTAAGATGCTCACCAGAGGTGCTGCTCTTGTGGGCTCCAGGCTAGGTCTAGGAGCAGTTGAATACATGTAGTTAAAAAGACGGTCTATCTTTCGAAGTGGCACACCACCACCTAGGTCACTTATCTGTAAAGTACAAAATGTTAAAAAAAAAAAAAAAAAGGAAGAAGAAGAGGAAGAAGTCAATCCGTAGTTAGAAAGAGGCAAGGATTTCATTAAATAAAGTACATACCAGATTACCCTTAGCCATACAAGGGCTTTGAATGCCCCCTACAATAGGGTTCCCTTGTGAACAGTGCAAAAACCAAAGGAGGCGGGGAGGTGCAGCTGGATGGGCCAGGCTTGGGTTTGAGGACTTGTTCAGTTCCCTGACAACTGGGGTTCTAATGAAGGTCAAATGAGGGAAATTAAGCTAAGGATCTGACACAGAACTTACAAATAAGACCCTCAATGTCAGTGTTCTTCCCTTCCCTCGGATTCCTCAGTGTCTAGATACTATTAAATGAATTGATAAAGTGGATGTGTAAATAAAGCAGCTACCTTAATGGACAGATCTTCTTTACCCAGAGTAACGAGGGTTTTAACAGACGGATAGCCCTCCTTTCTATCTTGATACAGTTCAACTGTCGCTCTCATTGAGTTCTGAAATAATAAGACCTTTTTTTAACACACTGCTGATTCACAAACTAAAAAAAAAAGAAACTAGTACAGATTACTTATAAACAACAATTCTTTTGTGGGGCAAATATTAGTTGGATTTATATGGCACTTCTTTCCCCTCTAAAGAACTCAGCTAAACATGTGTTCAAATCAAAGAAAAATTTCCTGAAGCGTTATTTTATTTCTCATCTAGTTTTAGTCCCATTCACCATATTAAATAGTTCTTTTTCTTTCCTTCCTGTTTTCTTTTTGTTTTTGCTTTAGGGTATTTAAATTATTCAACTCTTAACCAAGAGGAATGTTTTGATCACATGCAACGAGGCTGCAGAGGCTCACTGATGCACTTCAAATGCTATTTATCAGCATGCATTTACAGAACACCTTTCCTCTAAAGAAGGTGGAAAACCCAAGAGTATTCATGCTTCCCACGAAAATTAATCATTTGGCTGAAAAAAAGTAGAAGCAATGTCAGTTAAAAAGAAACTCTGTAAAAGACACAGCTGTTGAGAAAGTTCACAATTGAATGCCCACCTCAACTTTAAAGGGTTACATCAGTAACATTATAATTTCTGGGAGCAAATCAGAATAACTGATTTTTCAGGTGTTCAATTTAGGGTTTTACACATTGGAAGAAATGAAGTTTTAGCTCAAATGCCTTGTGCCTATAATATTGCTACACTAAATGCCATTAGCTACTGGTTAACAAAAGCAACAACCTAAGCTGTAGTGAGTTTAAAGAGTCTTTTTTTTTTTTGGTCCCTTTTGGGCCAGCCCTTCCACATCTTTCCCCTCTGCTTCTGTCATAGCTGAACTGACTCAAATACGTAAAAGGATTATGCAACCAGTCAGAACTGGAACAACTGTTCCTGCACAAATGCAGTTAATGTTCCGAAGCATAAATATGCATAAATGTGTTTTTATTTTGATCTAGCTACCACCAATAAAGGTTTTGCCAGATTTGGAAACTAAAAAGCATTTCTAATCTCTTAACTGAAGAAAAAAACAGTATGGATTTTACATCAAATCAAGAAACTACAATTAAGCTGCAAAATCAATATGTACTAATATTCATGAAAACTATACTGTACACAGCAATTTTTCATCTCGCAGTGTACAAATCATAGAACCCAGAGGGTATCAGAAATAGAATTTTAAAAATGGTTAGGCAAAACCTTTTTCTTATGCTAATCTAATGAATCCATTATGCTGTGAATCAAAGTAATTTAAAATGAAGACTTCTTTACGTGTTTTTAAATTCCACTTACCTTGAACAACTCAAACAGCATGTGAAACAGATGTGAGGGCACATAAACTACCTGAATAGGTTTGTTTGGAGCTTTGGCTGAAAACAGGGACAAAACCATCAATGAATAAGGGGCAAAACTAGAAAAGAAAGTTGAGAATGTTGTTTGCATTCTATTTTCCAAATACATAAAAAAGAACTCTACAAAAGGCTGACTCAGGTTTCTATCTCTAAAGGCAGGGCTGAGCAAAAGCATATGCTTTAAAGTCCAACAAACTTGAGGTGAAATCCAGTTCCTTTACTTAGGAGTATATGACCGTGGCCAAATTACACATCCTCTTTGAAACTAATTGAGCAAGAGAGGAATATTTCACTTAAGTCATATTGTTCTGAGCATTACATAGGTCATCTAAATATCACTCAGTGTTTTTCAAACTGGGGGACACCCTCCCACCACTGCCACTGACCCCAGTAGTCAGCAGGGGGAATATGAAGCCACAGAGGAAAAGGGACACATCTTTTTGGTGAATTGGATTAAACAGCAATGTTAAATTCTGTTAGATTTTGATCAACAAGGCATATTACAGGGTAGAATGTAAGGTTCACATTACCTTTTTCTACTAGCAGCTAACAGATAAACCCCCAGGGCTCTCCTGGGAAAAATATGAGGAACACTGAATCCCATGTTAGGCACTATAAACAGTATGGGCTAGAGAGCAGATGCTGGAAAATTTAGTCCTTCCTCCTCCTCGTGACCCAAACTCACTTACAAGACTGAAACGATGTGAACTTTCTCCAGTAGAACACAGACACACTCGCCGATGTCATAATTTTAACCAAACTACTTCCTCTAACAGAGTGAGTAATTAACAGTAATATAAAGTAGAGCAAACATGTGTTTGGTTCCTAGCAGTTTACAAAGAGCTCGCACATACAGTACCCAACTGAACCCTCATGACTCTACCGCATGGTTCACTGGGTGTGAGCGGAGGACACAGGCTCCGCAGAGGCTGTGTGACCTGCCCACTGTAACAGAATTCCCAAGCCTGAACTTGGATACCTGAACCAAGAGCTTTTGATTTTAAACCCTGAACCCTTTGATGATCAGTTATTTTTTAAAAATTATTTATGTGTACAAATGAATTAAAAATTTTTTTAAAGATGTAAAAGTCCCTTTCCCACAGTCTCACTGGGTACAGTCTCACTTCCCAATCTGCACCTACAGGCAGCCACTGATGACTATTTCTGCGTTAGTCCTTTGGTTGCTGGTATTTATATTCTGTTCTGTAACCCGAATTAACTCTTCTGCACATTGCCTATAGGTTCTTTTTTAAAAAGCTGAAAATTGATAGTGTTGGGAACATCGTAACTAGGAAAACACTGATCACTGCAGAGTGGCCACAACACAACAGGTACCAGGACATTATTTCCTTCCCCGTGAGTCCAATGACATGAGTCACGTGTCACTTGAATGTCACTGAAATGTTCTCAGCCTTAAAGTGAAATTGATTCTTTTCATCTTCCTCCAACTGCTCAAAATCATGCTACCTTTTTTTAGGTTGCCAAATATTTGGACTGTGTCTTTCTTACATTGTTCCATGTATTTCTGGAGCTTCTCATACCCTTCCTCTTGGGTAACTGTACAAGGAATATATGTTTTTCTCACCACATCACTAACACCTCCCAGCGTCTTATTCTGTTGCATGGTATTCATTCCATTCTTAAAGATTTTTCAAATTAGAATCAGTTGCTTTCCAAACATGCTGCACACCCATCATCCTCAAACTGTAATGGAAGTGCTAGAATGTTCTTCACTATTTCTTACATCTGTATTATATACACCATCAAGTCAGTCACATAACCCAACTAAGAAAGGTGTGCATGCGAGATACATTTCTCAATCCTTATATCTCTGATTCACTACATTGACAGTTTGGCTAGATACAGAATTCTGGGTTTGAAATAATTTTCTCTCAGAATTTAGAAAGGGGGCTGATCTTCTGGCTATGACGGTGTGGCTGGTAAGTTTAATGCCAGTCAGGTTTCTGTCATGCTGCTGGTTTCTGCCTGAGGTCAGATATATCTAGGTTGTAATATTCTTGTTGAAGAATGAGGAACTGGATTAATCATTTGAGGAAGCTGGTGTTCATTTCCCCCTGGGGCCCTGTGTATACCCAGTCAAGACTTTTCATCTGGTTTTAGGATGAGTAGACAAGTAAGCTGGCCTCTGACCAGAGGGTCCTCCAAATGCTCGAATGAAGAGGACTTTACTTTGGGCTAACAACACTCACCTGAACAGCCCCTGTGGGTTGTTCCTGAAGAAAGCACTATAACTTTTATTTTTGCCTGGGGGAAAATGCTTGTGACTGGCTGCAGGCAGAGCACAAGCAAAGTCAAGTGGTCCCTATCACCCCTTCATGCCCTACCTTAGACCAGCTTTCAGCTAGCCCCTACCTTCTTGGTTCCCATTACTTTGCACCTCCCAGCCTGCTCTCAGAGGCCCTCCAGGTAACCTCTGGCAAATTGGGTACCATCTCTGCTGTAGCCTCCTGGTTTGTGGCTTCTGCTGCTCTGTCCCATTAACTGGCATACTTCTATATACAGGTTACCTGCTGGCCAGAGGTGGGATCAGTGGTCTGCAGACAATTGCCCCTAGTTTCTTTGTTTTTCTTTGTACTCCTTTACTGTCATTTTAATGGAACCCCAGAAACAAGCTGAATGCTTAGTCTATCTTGCACCAAAAGGCACAACTGCCTGTATAAACAGTCTTTTGAACTCAATCTGTTCACTACAAATCTCAAGGAAATTAAAATATCTTTGATAGTTTTTTCAGTTCAATCAGCATTCTCCAGGAGCCATCTGAAGGCTTACTCAATACTTGTACTTTTCTTTTCTTTGGGAACATAATAGTCTAGATGTCTTTGTTTCCTTTTAAAACCACGTCAAACGTTTTTGTCCATTACTTTTCTCTACCCCTGGGTCCAGTGGCTTTTATGTAGTAGACCCTTTTATGTAGTGAAGTTAATGTTTATTAACTTTCTAAAATAAGACACAAATGGAATTTGAATTTTCCATCTAAGGGTACATTTTTAAAAGTCAAAAGAAAAAATGGTCCAGGATTTTCATGCTCAAGACTCAAGAAATAATAAAGTCTCTATTTTTGCAAAGTCATTGCTCCAAAAACCATTAGTTGAAACAACATTTAATGAATACCAACAGAACTCTACATAGGATATGAAGAATTTTATTTTCAGATAGTTCTCCTAAAAGGACGAAAAACTGGAGGCTAAGTAGAAAAAACACAATTAAGAGAAAAGGTAGTTGGGCACTTAGAGATGATTGATCAATTCCCAAAGTCAATGGATAAGGCTATTAGAAATAGTATACAGTGTGATTCAAAGTCACACTGGGTTCAAGTCCTGACTCTGGCACTTAATACATATATAATAATAGGTATTTAACCCACCTGGGTGGCAATATTCCATTACTGAAACAGGCACAGTACATATCTCACTGGGTTAATATAAGGATTAAATGAGATAATAATAATAAACTAGTTTACACAGAGCCTGCCACATCGTAATCAATGTTGGCTATTATCATTACTAAAAAATTCCTTTCTACAGTGTTAATAGGGCTATGAATAATGGCTTTTCAATTGTTGTATAGAACCACTTGACTGAAATTATCCGGAAAAGTATCCAGTATGGGGAAACCAGAGGTCAAAGATCTCAGGTTAGATAGATACCTTCCCTATGAACCCTTCTAACAAAATATATATACCATGAATTGAAATTTTTAATGTTTCCCACCAAACCCAAAGTTATGAATCAACCTCTTGACAGGAAAGACTAATCTAAAATGGCAAAGAAACGCAAGTTAGGAACCGTAAGTTTTATCCTTCCCAAGTCAACCACAACTTCCAGTAGCAATTATTTAAAAAATATCCAGTATGTGCTCAGTGCTATATCTGAGGCCCTAGTAACATTACACTTTTGTCATCCCATAAGGTGATCTTACAGATGAGGAAGCCGAGTGTCACAGGTGAAGTGACTTGCTGAATGCCCATATCCCCTAAGCATGACAATCCATTCCCATCTTTCCTCTAAGCCATGCTGCCTTACCATAAAGATACAAACAAGGTAAGATAAAATGTTTATTCACTTCATCAACCGATTTCTCAAGAGAATGCCAAAATGAGAACTAGTATAATGAAATGACCACTTGTCTTTGGAGAAACCCACACAGATGGGCACAAGGTAGCAAATCAGAATATTTGAAATCTCATAAAAGGTGAATAAAATCCTGTTCTCTTCAATGTTCCTGTTAAATGTGTTACAGAAGGGATAATAAACAAAGTTTACTATAGCTGGCCCCCAGTATTCAGAATTCTATTTGATGACTGGTAAATGTTGATGGTGTTCACACAGTATGTTCTACATAATTCTAACTACTTTCTCTGGGGTCTATATTGGGAAAAAAAATTCAGGAAAAAAAGATGTTAGGTCAAACAAATTAAATTCTCAAGTAGCAACAAATTGTTCTTTGGGGTTAATGGCAGCCTCCCTTCTCTCAAGTGCAGAGACCTATTGCTAACTCCTGCTAAAGGCTCCTATTAGGTAATGGAAGCATCCTACACCGGTTCACAGGGGCTCTGAAAATGAAGCCATAGGAATCTGATCTGCCTCATCCATGCCGTCATGCTGTGGGAAACACACACTCTCTCTCGTTATAAAAAGCAACAGCATCTACTTCAGGTGCTCAGGACTAAACTCTGACCTGCATCTCTAACAGGGAAGCTATTAGAGCTGAAGCACTGTGCTCACAAAAAGCTTTGACATTCAAGAAATTATAAATACATTACAATCATAAACACATAAACACATTACCTAGGAGGAAATAGAGGCTGCTTATAACAACCAGCATTCACTTATCTTAGTGATGGGAAAAGGGGCTTCAAAAACTATGCGCGAGACAGTGCTAAAGCAGTTGTAAAGCTCCTCCCCTGGAGGGGTGCACTGCCCTTGTGACAGCCTTGTTGGGAGGGAATGTGCTGCCACAGCTGGCACCTGGGAATCAGTAAAAACAGACTTGAAGCTCTGGCCCCCCGAGTGAGTGAGGCTGCCATTCATGTAAAAGAGCAATTGGTTACTACCTTTGAATTTAAGTTCCATATCTGACAAATAGAAATCTGGACAGTGAGGTCACATCCTTCCTAATCAGTAGGAAGAAAGAGAATATTATTATTAAGATGCATCTACTCAGGAATATTCAAATTTTCCTAGGTTCTGGTAGTGTACGGATGCAAAACAGGGGCACAACTCTGCTCAGAGAATTCAACAGACTTTGAAAGCAGCTTTGATTCTATACCTTCTAGAAGAATTTAAGGGCAATTGTCCTACAACAGCAGCATGAGGTCTCTCCACATTTTGACCTCATTATAAAAGAAATACACATTTTGGCATATTTTTTTTTCAAACTGTAGAATCTCTTTTAATAATATTAGTTTCTTTTTCTTTTGATATCATTAACATACAATTACATGAGCAACATTGTGGTTACTAGCTTCCTCCCATTTATCAAGTCCCCACTACATACCCCATTACAGTCACTGTCCATCACTGTAGTAAGAAGCTATAGAGTCACTTTTTGTCTTCTCTGTGCTATACTGCCTTCCCCGTGCCCCATTCACTACATTATGTGTGCTAATCGTAATGCCCCTTATTCCCCTTCTCCCTCCCTTCCCACCCACCTTCCTCTGGTCCCTTTCCCTTTGACAACTGTTAGTCCATTCTTGGGTTCTGTGAGTCTGCTGCTGTTTTGTTCCTTCAGTTTTTGCTTTGTTCTTTTTTTTTTCCTGTTTTTTTTTGTTGTTATCATTAATCTACAATTACATGAAGAACATTATGTTTACTAGGCTCTCCCCTACCCCAAGTCCCCCCCACAAACCCCATTACAGTCACTGTCCATCAGCATAGTAAGATGTTGTAGAATCACTACTTGTCTTCTCTGTGTTGCAAAGCCCTCCCTGTGCCCCCCCACATTATACATGCTAATCATAATACCCCCTTTCTTCTTCCCTGCTCTTATGCCTCCATATCCTGCCATTCTCCCCAGTCTCTTTCCCTTTGGTAACTGTTAGTCCATTGTTGGGTTCTGTGATTCTGCTGCTGTTTTGTTCCTTCAGTTTTTCTTTTGTTCTTATACTCCACAGATGAGTGAAATCATTTGGTATTTGTCTTTCTCCGCTTGGCTTATTTCACTGAGCATAATACCCTCTAGCTCCATCCATGTTGTAGCAAATTGTAGCATCTGTTTTCTTCTTATGGCTGAATAATATTCCATTGTGTATATGTACCACATCTTCTTTATCCATTCATCTACAGATGGACACTTAGGTTGCTTCCATTTCTTGGCTATTGTAAATAGTGCTGCGATAAACATAGGGGTGCATCTGTCTTTTTCAAACTGGAGTGCTGCATTGTTAGGGTAAATTCCTAGGAGTGGAATTCCTGGGTCAAATGGTAAGTCTATTTTGAGCCTTTTGAGGAACCTCCATACTGCTTTCCACAATGACTGAACTAATTTACATTCCCACCAGCAGTGTAGGAGGGTTCCCCTTTCTCTACAACCATGCCAACATTTGTTGTTGTTTGTCTTCTGGATGCTAGCCATCCTTACTGGTGTGAGGTGATATCTCATTGTGGTTTTAATTTGCATTTCTCTGATAACTAGCGATGTGGAGCATCTTTTCATGTGTCTGTTGGCCATCTGAATTTTTTCTTTGGAGAACTGCCTGTTCATCTCCTCTGCCCATTTTTTAATTGGATTATTTGCTTTTTGTTTGTTGAGGTGCGTGAGCTCTTTATAGATTTTGGATGTCAAGCCTTTATCAGATCTGTCATTATTTTTGGCATATTTTTGAGAGGGAATTTGGTTTATCTTCAATTGTAAATGCCCATACTCTAAGACTCAGTCGTTCTACTCCCAGGAATCTAACCTACAGAAATGTTCCCACACATTCACAAATTTTCCCACCCTACATACGCACACACACACACCTTCATTGCTCATTACATGGAATATGGGAAAATCATAAACCCTAAATGTCAACCCAATGGGAAACAATTAAATAAATTATGGTAATATACACTGTGGATAATCTCTAAATGACATTAATACATGCAAAGGTCTTCAAGGTGAAGTGAAAAACATACATTATAGAGCATGCCTAATTTCAGCCCCATTTATGTAAAAACCAATGCTCTGTACAAGACTCAGAGTAAAGGGGACTTTCAGTTTTTAGTCCACATTTCCGTATTGTTTGCATTTTTACAAAGAACATGTCTCTTTTGTAACTTACAGATGAATAAAAGTAACATGTAAATAAATACAGAATCATATGGCTAATATAAAAATCAACTATAACCCCACTATGCAGAGAGCTATTGTTTGTACTTTGGTTCAATAAATCCTTCAAAAATATTTTCCAAAGAATTTGTACTATTTCAAACTTTTACAGCCTATGTTAAAAAAAAGTCAGCTTTTCCCATACATTAAATATTCTTTTAAAGCATTATTTTGAATGGCTGCATAGTATTGTATCTTATGGGTGTTCAAAAATTTATTTAAATAATCCTCCTTTGTGGAAAATGGGTTTTCTAATTTTTCTTTATAAGAAAAACACTGTAAGCATTATTCTTGTACAGACATCTCTAAATATCTCTATTTTCTTACATTAATTTTTCTGAAGCTTAATTTACTGGACCAGAGAATATGACCTTTATTATTTTAATTTACTGGACCAAAGACAAAGAACATTGTTAGCATTTTAAACTTATACCAGAAATGTACAAGTGCTGGTGAGAAAGTACTTTTCTGTGCACTAATTCAAGGCATTAAAATGTTTTAATCATGGCCACTTGAATGGCAAAAAATGGCATTTCTCTGTGCTTTTGTTTGTACTTCTTTGATTAGTAAAGTTTAAACACCTTTCCATATGTTTACTGACTGTTTGCATTTGTTATTTGAGAACTATTTATATCTTTGTGCATTTTCTACCTTGATTATTTCTCTTCCAAGAACTCTGAGTTCTTATAAATTACATATTCCTGTACCAAAACTACTTACAACAGTGTAGCTAGTTGGTTAAAGGTTTTAAAAGGGTTTTAAAAAGATCTAAAAGATGAAAAAGCAGCATAATTTTAGGATTTCACTAAAATACAAGCACAGGTATAATCACACTTTTAGTAAACTTTTCTGTATTGAAGGTTAAAATTATTTTCCTTTTACCATTGAACTCTTTAACTTTTAGCTCTGGAGCGGCCAGGTAATATTGTTCACACAGCATCTTGGCGGTTTCATATGCATCTGCAAAGAAAGAAAAAAGTTTAGCTGCTGCACCAATAACTTATGCACAAGCAGACAGACAGACTTAAGAGAATAAGTAAACCTGATGGATTGAGAATTTATCAGCTACTGCCCTTTAAAAAATAGCCTTTTTGGGCTGTAAAAGAATAAGCATGATTGAATCAAAATTTTTCCTTCTTTAAAGTTTTAATGACCATGTCAAAATACTGCACCAATGATGATATAGCTAGCTGTGTACAAAGCACATATTTGCTAACTTTTAAATATTCCTAAAAAGCATTTTTCATGAAAACCTGTAATCTCAAGACTATGTTTCTGAACACCACACAACCTGATTAAGTTGCAAAAAAAGATATTTACTATAATTTAAAAGATAAAAATGCAGTCTTTAAGATTTGCCAGTTATTTGTAAATGAAACATCCGTAAGTATTTGCTGAATGAATGGGTTTCCATGAGCCACACACACTCTGTTATTGGAGACACTATCATGGCTTAAAAATGTCTTTTAAGGTAGTTAGAGGTAAGAGGTTGGGGTGATATTTATCAAAGGCAAGGAATATAGTTTGCTTTCAAAAGAAAAAAAAATAAGACACAGGGTAAGAAGATCAGGGCCATTACAGAAAGAGCTGGAAGAGAGAATTCAGGTTATATCCCAAAAGATGTGGAACAGATTCAGAAAGTAGGAGTGCATGATAATACACTGCGTGTGTTCCTTTCCTCTTGAACTGTAAGCACTCTGAGGTCAGCGTCTGTGTCTTGCACTGGTTTTGTAACTCATATAGAACTTGTTTATGCCTGTGCAGATGGTCAATAAATAGTCCTTGACTCGATTGATTTGAAACCTTTTGATAATTTGCTTTTTAAAAAGCAGCTTTCAGATATAATTCTCGTACCATGCAAGCCAGCCATTTGAGTGTACATACCATTCAGAGGTTTTCAGTGTATTCGCAGAGGTGTGCACCCACCACCACAGTCAACTTTACATTTTCATCACCCCAGAACCATCCGCATCCTGCCTCTCCCGGGCCCAGCCCTGGGCAGCCACAGATCTGCTTGGTTCTGCAGATTTGCTGTTCCAGCTGGTTCATATAAGTGGTGTCATACAATATGTGGCCTTCTGTGTCTAGCTTCTTACACTTAGTAAAGTGTTTTCAGAGGCCATCCATGTTGTAGCATGAATCCATACCTCATTCCTTTTTATTGCTGAATAATATCACACTGCACAAATATACCCATTTTATCCATTCATCCACTGATGGACATTTGGATTGTTCCCACTTTGTGGCTATTGTGGATAATGCTGCTATGAACATTCATGACCAAGGGCTTGGTAAATGTATGTTTCCATTTCTCTTGGGTATATCCTTAGGAGAGGAAAATGGCTTTACCATATGGTAGCTCTGTGTTTAAATGTTTGAGGAATAGCCACACTGCTTTCCAAAGTGAGATTTTCTTCCAAGTTCCACTTTTATAACTTCTAAAAATCAGGTACTCGAATTATTTTAAAATGCTTCAATGGCACATTTGCAAGGTTCTCAGCTGGATATGAGCTCTTTGGAGACAGGTTTGTATTTCTTTTATATTCCCCACATCAATACTGTGCACAGAGTAGATACTTGTTTAAGATTTAAGAGGTAAGAGAAAAAGGGCAGGAAGGAAGGAGGGAAAATAAGCTGAACAAAATTTAAATATGTTAAAATTTGACTCTGTCAACCCAAAATATATAAAGGTAAGATAAGGGTATGTTCAGACTATAAGTTTTGGTTCATTTACCTCATATTGCTACCTAATTAAAATTTTATATAATATTTCACCTACAGTAAAAATTATGATCACTTTATTAAACCTTTGGAATTAAACCACCACAAGGAACTACAGATAGAGACAATAGAATAACTCTGACAAGATGAAATAATGAGGGCTCACCAAAGTAAATGTTAGTAAGAGGAGAAAAATATATTAAAAAAGAGTTGATCAGAGTGAAAACAGATATTAAAGAAAGATTGAATTTAAACTCTAATAAAAGAAAAAAAATTAAGTTATGCTAAATTTACAAGGCTTTTTCCTATAGTATAATAAACCTCATCAAATTATCTGTAAAGTACTTTTGTAAAAAGAAAGAAATCAAGACTCACTCTTTTTGCTTTGGCTACACCACCAAACAATGCTACATCTCCACCTAGTGACATGAGAGCACAAAGCCAACCAAGAACTTCCAAGGCACTTTACTTAAACCACCAAATACTGAAATCTAAAAAACGTTGCTTTGTTATCCATATACAAAGCCAATACATCTCCAGAAAACAACTCCTCCAAGCATGTAACACCTTTAGAGATGTTTTTAAGCAGCATTCTTCCATTCACATAAAAGAAGAAAAACCCCAGGCCCACTCAGTGTGCTAGTTTCTTGTGGCATCAGCTTGCCCAGTAGCATGAGATTATAGGAGCATTATTAAGAAAAAGGATTACACGAATGTGACATTTGGAAGATGGTCAAGTCCAGACAGAAGCAGTCAATTTGAAACTCAAAGACCTAGCATGTTTCCTAAAACCACATGTGAATGAGAATCTTTTAAGCATCACTACAATGCTGTAACTAAGAAGTACATCATGGAGCCTTAAAAGACTCAAGACATCACAATGTGACACATGCACCAGCAAGCCAAAAATATTTTCGGGACAGCATGGTAAAATCTATATTCACATGCATCTTCATAAATTCCCATAGCACATCATAATGCCTTTGTCAAATGGAACATTTGTAAGCAATTGTTAAATGGAGCAATCCTTCTGCTCATGAGAAAGTTCTCAAGGTGCAGTAACTGTACTGACAAGAGATGCTCTTTTTGGCCTGACTGGGAACTCGAATGGTTCCCAAATATGACCCTATGTAGAATTCACTACCAAGTTAAAAAAAAAGTACAGATCATAAAATCGAACCCTGGAGATTCTGATGCATATGTCTGTGCTGAGACCTGGGAATGCGTATTTTTAAAAACTTAGCAAGTAATTCTCAAGAGAAGCTAGACTTAGGAACCACTTCCCTAGATAATCAAGGCTGAGTCATGCTAATTTTGTCACTGTCTCTCCCAGGACATGAATAATCATGGGGTACTGGGGTGTATAACAGCACACACTTTCCAATCAGGACATGTCTTATTAAGTATAATAACAAAAACATAACATAAAAAACTCTAAAACATCACCAACCTAAAAACCAAAATTCATTTCCTTTATTCTAGAGTAAACTGCAAGTTCTCCTTATAATAAGCTTTCTAATAAGACTTTTCTATTTTTAAAGTAGAAACCAAAAATTTATATATGATAATCTATAAAGCTCCTTTTACCTGCAGTAGATTTGAGCCAGTATTTGCTACCAATCTTTAAAATGAAATATTAGGCAGTGATTATTACTGCCACTGAACATAAGTGCTATTCATTGTTTTAAGACCCTGTTTTCAAAGAAAATCAGATATTGATCATAAGGTAACTAACAAAACTATGGGTATGGCCCGTATGTACTTCCCCAGGGTAGAGCACACAAACTATCAACACACAAAACTAGTTATTTTGAATTTAAAAGGCCATAAAAAGTAAGGTGAATGTTCACACAGCAAGTAGCCCAACAGATCCAATCTAGTTTTAAGAAAAAGCACACAGGAAAATTTAATAGATTATAGAGGTTATTTTATTAGATTTTTTATTAGAGTATTTTCCTATTCAAAATTCACTGTAGAACTCTGCTATCAAAGATTAGCCTTTATTGTGAATACATGCAATCATTTGTTTACAGATAACTTATAAAGGATGGACAAGGATGAATCTGAATGAGTGCTGAGAAAACAAACGAAGGTGCCAAGGTCCCTGATTTGGGTCTAACAGGATACAGAAAACCCTAAAGCTCAAGTTTAAGAAGCCACCGCCAGAACAAGGTAGCCTACTGATACCTAAAGCATTACAAGTCACAGATAGACTGCTTTTAAAAAAAACCTTTTAAGTTACAGAGTAATTCTATCTAATATAAGGCATGTCTATTATCATCCTACCCACAACCCATCCCCAGTGGGAATCCACAGGGTTTTTTTAAGCACTGGAACATCTCCCACCCTCCAAACCACAGGCGACTAGAGAAATGGGGAGGGGCAGACATCTAATGGAAGGGCAACCAGTCTACAGACTGAGCAGAATCCTAAAACCTGTGGTCATGGGCAAAAAGATAGGCTGAGCTAATGAAGTTTATCTTCTGAAAATTTAGGACTGAGACACTCAGGCAGGGCAGATCACAAAAGGATACACTGAGAGTTATCACAGTCTGGAAGGCTTGGAGGACCCACCATTGCCCTAAAAAGCTGCCCCGAAGCATGTCCACAAGTCTACAGACAAGAGAACAAGGTGCAGGGGCCATGACTTGGCAACCCCAGTTGCAAAGATACAGAAAACAACCTTGCTTTCTGTTTCCTAGTTCCAATCTCTACAGCTCCAACTGTAAAGTCTGCCCTTGGATTCCAGTAGGACCTACTAGGTTCTTTTAATGAATCTGTTTCTTGAGCTAGCAGGAGTGGGTCTCAGTTACTTGCAACCTGAAGAGCCCTAAGTGAGAGCACAAGACATTATTTCTGAACCAGAATAATGGCACACTGTCAGGATACCATTCATATGCTATTATGCTAAGCAATAGGAATAGCATATAGGAACAACACAGGCAAGCTAACATCGCTGTGAGAGTCGACTTTTGTACCAAGTATTTAAGTTTGTACTTTTAAAATGATCTTGCCACAGCATTTTCCACTTTATTTCCTGATTTCTTACAAAGAAAGGAGGGAAACGGGTCACAATGGAAGGCAACTCCCAGAGGATAATAGGAACTGCTTTACAACACTAATTCTAGCATTCACTTCCTCGAGTCTATAATTTGCAGATGTGTAAAGGTAGATATTAATGTGCTAAATAAGCAGCAAGGAGGCATGCTTCAGTGTTGTGCACATTCAACTAATGCTAT